ATTTACGTGTTCCTGTAGAAATGAAAGCCTTATCATGTAACCGCATTTTCCCATAATTATGTAAAGAGGGGCGGTAAAGTTCATTTTAGTTTCAGGTCCCGAAGATGTGGTGAACTGAAGTAGAGATTCCCAAGATAAGTTATCCATAAGGAAGGGGGAGGGGGTTTTGCCTCATTACTATGCTGGGATCAAAATAGCATCTATCCCTTGTCAGTGAACAATGGCCGGGTTAGACCAGGAAAGCCAGCTAGTATAAAATGAAGATGCAGAGAGACTCAGAGTATCACATATCGCACATTGAATTGAAATTCTTACTTTACTCGCTCGCAGTATACAAGATATCACACACTTTAGAATCATCTTTCAATGTTCCACAGAGTGCTATAGGGTTTGTGGAAAGTCCACTTCGACTAAAAAGACTTGTCAGCAGATCGCTAAATAAACTATAAGTCCTTTTTTCTTGTAACCTGGGCATTTAGTTCTTCACTTGGACAATTCTTCTATGCCGTACAGGTTTTTATTGATGATACACTTTATTACTGCCTTACGTTTCGGTTAAACATCGTTTTCAGAGGCCTGGAAAGGAGTCAGTCACTCTGATATTACTTTCCTGCCGCCAAAACCTCTTCACACCCGCGTATTCGATTCGTCTCGGGTGGAGATTGAGAGACTGGGCGTGAAAGTCTACCCACCGAGTGTATCACCGTGGCAGCAGCGTATGCTGCTTCAGGACGTGCTCGAGTAACTTGTCGAATGAGCAGTTGGATCACTATGAGATGGCTTAAGTAAGGGTGACAATCTCATAGTTCGCATAGCGCAAGATATGGCAATAGATCACTTGTGATAGAAAGCTTTTCATTCTTGCCGTTCATTTTTGGGTCACGGGCAAGTATGTAAGATGCTTCTAAAGCCTTTCGGGCAGCGATTTGATCTTCGAAGGCTAGAATTTTGCATTTGATGTTGTAATCGTCACCGTTGTGTTCTATATTTCTGTGTCTACCTAAAGGGGACACTATGCTCTGTCGTTTTTTGCTGGCTAAATGCTCGCTTATCCTTACGCTTAGCGGCCAACCTGTTTCTCCAATATAAATGGCAGAGCAGCTCATACATTCAATTTGGTAGACAACGCCACATTTCGCGCAGTCTCCTGCTCTTCCGTAGGGGCACACTACGCAGTCTCGTGTAATACAAGCACTGTCATACAATCTGTTGCCAACTAACTGTCTCTTGAGGTTAGTACGCGGAATATTGATAAGTATGACGTCTTTCTCCAACTGTGCTTGTACTAGGCATTGTTTGATTGCGGCAGTGACTCGTTCGGAAATGAAAGGTAGGCACAGAGGTACCCGGTTGATACTCTGTTCACCCATCCTTTCTGGAGTTCTTCTTGAATGTTTGGGCTGCATTGTATATCCATTTGACGTCATAATCGTAGCTGCCATTTTCATTGATTCATCTCGTTCACGTCTGCCACTACTGATGCTCTTTGCCGTCTCAAACATATTGTGAATGACAGCTCGTTTGACGGCCATCGGATGCGCGGACTTCGCGTGCAAAATTATGTTTTTCTTACTCTCTTTGCGATACCATTTGATGCTAACTGAGCCTTTATTCATCATCAATTGCGTATTCAAAAAAGGGGCCACCCGTTTCGCGGTTTTTCTCTTGTCAGGCTTATGTACTGCGATTGTTGATTTAGTATATTGAAGCACTCGTCCATTTCGGACTGTGTGGATGTTATAATACAGCAATCGTCAATATACCTGCAGTACATAAGCGGGCTTCTGATTAGCACAGGTTGTTCTATCTTGCTCATGTAGCAGATTGCTAACACGGGTGCTAATCTTTGGCCCATTGCCAGCCCTCTAATCTGCGCGTAATATTTTCCACACCACCTGAAGATATTGCAGCTCAAGCATTCTTTGATGAGCGTTACGATGCGCGTCTTGCTGAGGCCGTACATCATCATGGTTGTGCCATGTGAGTCCAGCATTTCAGATAGTGCTTGCAAGGCGCTTCCAATGGATACATTTGTATACAAAGAGTTAACATCGAACGTCTCATACGCGCAATTCTCATTGAACTTCGTTTGGCGTAGTAACTCCAGAAAATGACTTGTGCTGCTCAGGTGGGCCGGTATTCTATTCAAGAGTTGGCTGACAATTTTGACAAGGAACCAAGATATTCGATCCGTTGGCCCATTGGTGCAACTGACGATGGGTCGTATATTATAGGTTTTTGCAGACACAGATTGCAAATCGAGCAAAGAGAGTTTGTGCGTTTTGATTAAGCCATAAAAGACAGGGCATGTTGGTGATTCTAGCTTGAGTCTAGTAAGGAATTTCTCGTGAAGGCCAGCTTCTCTACCTATCAATGTCCAGATGTGATTTAGCTTCTTGCTTTGTGATATGAAATCTTTCTCACATGTTGGTTGATAAATAGATCCATCTGACAGATGTTCTTCAACTATCTCGCGGTCAAGGTCTTGTGACATGACTACAAACTCTCCACCTTTGTCACTGACCGAAAGGCAGATAGTGCCATTACTGGTCAGTTCTCTCATCTCCCTACAGCCTTGCTGCTGCGCGTGCGTTGAGTTAGATCTTCTTATGTTTTTATTTTCGTTGAGAATGTTCAAAATACCCATAGAAAGTATTCGGAACTTTGTGTCGGCTACAGCGTAAGGCTCAGGCTTCAGTTCAGATTTTGCGACGAAATCGCACTTACTCGTCGTATTTTTGAAAATACTATCTGAGTGAGATTTATCTCAGGATTGCAACCTTCACATTTATCAATTTATTCAATTGACATTGCTCTAAGGTGAGCTTGGGCATTTTTACCAAATGTAAGTCGCTTATTTGGAATTGATAATCAATGTTGCTCAAGCGCAACATTGCGAAAGAGTGAGTCAGATGCACAATTATCACACCTGCTCAGACTCTCACGTCTGTAAGGCCTCGGGCAGAATTTACGCGATTTGATCGTCGCGATTCAATCGTTGAAGACAAGTGTTACGAGTTCATTGCATGCCGATCTTTCTTGTATTTCGGTTGTGAAGCTAGTCACGATTACTCGTGTTGGAAAACTATCACAACCGAATTACAAGAATTTGAGATTGGCAGAGATTGGCATGCAGCGAACTCGTAACATTTGTCTTAAGCGATTAAATCGCGACGACCAAATCGCGTGAACTCTGTCCGAGGCCTAAAGCAGTGGAGATAGATCTGCGATAGTAAGAATAAGCATATACTAAACTGCTGGCTAAGTTCTGTCCGACTTTTTTACCTTATGTCTAAAGCAGATGTTTTAGAAAAATTTCATCTTTGATGTGATATTGTTTGTATCAATATAAAGCGCTTTTCTTGCGCTTTCTGATACGTATCAAATTCGCATAAATTCCTTCTAACGAGATTGCAGGCCAAGATCCCCGGGCAGCCGAGATGCGTCCTCATCTAAAAGATATGTTTTTGCAAGAAAATCTCCATAATATGCCCTTCAGGTCAAGTTCCTTCACTGGATGCGGAATAAGGGTGTAACATTCTAGTCGCACAAGCTCAATTACATGAAGAAAACATCTTGCCAGTAAAATTTGTTGTCGAACATTAATTTTTTGTATAAATGTTCTACAAGCAATAAATTTCTGCGAATAAAAACAATGACGAGTCCAAAGTTGGAGTTGTTAGAATAAAGCAAGAGCTCATCTGGCAGGTCTCGTTCACCAATTCCTTTTCACCGCTCACGTCAAGTGTGAAATTTTCATAATTCGCAAATGAAAATGCACAAATGCACTGTACTTTAGTTCGATTAGTTTTCAAAAAAAAAATTCATTCCAAATTTTCGAAAAGGCTTAAGTATGGCGCGAATAGAGCAAATTTCGCACTATACGGTGCCGTTTCCAGGTTTTTCTTATTTGCTTTTTTTAGCTCCAAGAAGTTATTTTTTCGGAGGTCTTGGTTTTTGAAGTCGTAGAAGACGTAGCTGCAGCAAAAACGTGAAAGCTTTAGAAGTTCTTGCGAAATGAAACTTGAATGTTCTTGAAAATTATTTCTGCAACAAAGCAAGTTTGATTTACTTTGAAGGATCAGCTTTCTGGAATTAGTACTCTTGCATAGTAAACGTGATCAGAAAGCCGCGGTTTTCCAGAATAAATATTATTACGGGCTTGTTAAACGTGGCCATGTAATCTGAAATGGGCATAAATTAGCGAAAGGTTTGCTCTGAATAACAGCTACCGGCGCTCTTCGAAAATATCGATAAAATTTTTTGAAATTCAGGCAAGGTTTGGCGTTACCTTTGCGCTGCTCAAAAAGCCCTGACGATAACAATGCAAGAACAGCGTAGATCAGAATGGATAGGGCTTTAAAAAGAGGATAAAAATCTGAATTAAATAAAACTTAGGTCGTCCATGGATTAATGGTTTGGCGAGTTTTAGTGACTGATGAAGAAAACCAAGAAAACTTTTGGGACAACCTAATATATAGAAACTCATGGTAGCACTCTGATTTTTGTACTAAAATTCCGTCAAGGTGCCTATAAATTAGGTTTGCGTGACAAACGTATAAATTACATTTGGGTGTCGTAGAATAGGCGTCTGCACGCATTTTTATCGCCACGCGAATTGGCTGTGGTAGTATACAAAAGCCTCGCACGGAAACACCTTACGGCAGTGCATTTAGTGAGATCCAAAGCCGTATGTAATTCCCGTAGAAAATGAGGGTAAAATAACAAAAAGCTCAAATGTCTTGCATTTTTTGACATTATCACCCTTGATTTTTTGACGAAAAGAAACGATAATTATTGGCTTCCTCCCTGTAGTCTCAGTGGCCATTATCGAAACGTAATAATGTTTGTACCTTATTAGGCAAAAGAGATGGCACTACTAAGTAGAATGTATCAACATGCTATGGTCTTAACAGAAAACACAAGCTCAAACACGAATTCCTTCCTATTATAGAAAACTGTAAATGATTATATTCTGTAGTTTGCACGATATGATTACAGTATGTTCATTCTCTAGTATATTAAGTCAGGTTCAAGTCTATTTGAATTCATAAATTAGCGAGTTAATTTTTTTTGTGCATCTTTTTGACCGTTCTTGTCTATTTCTTTTTCACAGCATTGAGGGCAATTCTTTTGTGCATCTTTCTGACCATCCTTGTTTGTTTCTTTGTCGTAGTGTTGATGTTCATTCTTTTGTTCATCTTTCTTTTCATTCTTTCCTGTTTCTTTCTCAGTGTGTTGAGACTTGTTGTTAAAGTATCCTGCTTGATCTGAAAAAAACTCGACTATGCTAAGTCAAGTTAGAGGGGAAGTAAACTTACAACCCGCTTTTAACTCTCTGAGCGCATCACCGATGTCATCTGGAACACATTTAGAGTGCAAAACAAAAAGCATAGGGGTACAGTAACTTACGGCCTGCTTCTTTTGTTGTTTGGGCACCTTCTTTCATACGCTCATTAGCAACTTCTGAAATTGAACATTCTGTAAAGGAAACTAGTTTGTCTTTGGCGCTAAAAAGCAGAGTCGATGAGAGTGTTCAGCCGGATCAACTTAGCGACCTATTTTATTCACGGTTTCTGAAAAAAAAGTGGAAAGAGCTATCCCAGAAAAATGATTCAGCTTGTTGATAGAGATCGGTTGAGCCTCAATAATAAGCTGAATCATTTTTTTGGAATAGCTCCTTCCATAGCTATTTTTTTTTAAAAACAGTGGAACAAAATATGAGGCCGCTGCAAAAGTTCTTTCGGATCTTCAATGGACAGCACCTTGGAGCAGTATCCAACTCAAAAATTTACCATTTTACAATAGCTATGCTCAATATGCCTTGTGACGAGCGCTAAAATTGCCAGAGCTCGGTCCTTCCTTTTTTGGTCGTCTAATCTTCCCTATTTTTCCATGTTTATTTGCAACTTCTGAAGTAACACTGTAAGCGGATGTGGCAAACCTTTCGCAAGCGAAAGCAAATTTTGCATATCTTACGATTGTCCCCAAAGGTTTAGAAAAGTTTCTAAGTCAATTAAGAGTAAACTGGTCTGCTCAAATTGCGTGAAACGCAAAGTGGTAAATGACTAAAGGAAGTCTTGGTATTCAAAGTGGATTTTCCACGTGACAACTACATCGCATTGAAGTGCATTATTGAGTCTAAATCTGTATTCGTTACCTACCAAGCACTTCTGGACGCCTAGTTATGAGCGTTTATTAGGTTCAAAAATTGGATGCATATCCAAAACAAAATCATCCAGGTTTACATAAACGACGATGATATTTGAGCATTATATGCATGGAAGACCTTTTGTAGACACTTACACTACCGCTCTGTTCAAACGCTGGAAAACCGTGACAATTGATTTTACCTGGAATCTGCGTTCATTCTCGCTCCAAAAAATAGCTTGGCATCCAGAGGGCGACTGAAGATAATGAGAACAGATTTGAAATTAGCGTTCAATGCTCTTTGTAAAGGCGGCAAGATTCATAAGGTTACTTTGACTAAAAATGCTTCCTTTGTAAAGTGTACTAAGTCGATAAACTTTGCAGTTATTCAAACGTCATCTAGAAGGGCTTGCTTACTTTCATTGAAGTACGTTTCTTACATTGTTATATCTACCCTGTCGTGAGGAATGTGCATTGACTTTAGTAGAAGCGACCTTTCCAGATAAGTCCTACACCACCTTGAACAGCATCAAACGGTGATTCCAAATCTGATTTCGTTATCTGCCGAGCGCCTCTGCATGCCGAGTTATGAATATGTTCTTAGTGCGAAAAATGAACTCATGAACAGAGTAAAATCAAATTTTAGGGTCTCATCAGTGCTTATATAGAGCAGTGTTGAATGAGAGTTTTGTACAGAAGGTATTGTTTAATTGAGTGCTCTGATATATAACATTGTACCATTAGAGCAATTCTGACATATTATGTTCTAATTATGCAATCATTTTCGACTCAAAAACGCTCATAACGTCGAGAGGCGCTCGGCTGATAACGAAGAATCTGGAATCAGCGTTCGATGCTCTTTACAGAATATCATCATAGTTTATAATAACGGGCTAAGAATTGTTTATGTTTGTCGTCTGTGTGTGTGAATCTCTGTCTGTCACGAAATTCGTAGAGCGAGTTCCAGCAATAGTCTTGAGTTAGAAATTTGGTCATAGCACCCTATCAGCATGTAGGTAAAGTGTGCAAAAGCACAAGCCGATCCGTTGAGTGGAAATGAAAGTTGTGCGCCAAACAGATCCATTCGACTTCTGGCGCGCAACAGTGGGCCTATAATTGGACTTTTCCAAAATATTGGATTTATCTGTAACTTCGCAAACCATGGACTTTAGCCCGAAAAGTGAGCAAAAAAAATCTACTTTCACGCAAGATCGGCGCCCAAAAAATATAATTGATAGTAAGATAGTTGATATAATTGATAGTAAGATAGTCGATTTGTCAAGGTTTCCTAAGAATTCAAGAAGATTTCTGCTTGGAGATGTAACTCACGGTTGTCTCATTCTTATGGCGACTATCAAGCCATTATAACTCCAGCAAGCGATTCAAATCCACAATTAATCTTTTGAAAAGTTCTTTCGTTCTTTCAAAATCACCGATCTTACATAAAAAAGCTTTTGAAATGAGCAGTTGTTTACAATTCATTCCTGATGTTCGGCATCGCGCGATAGGTTTCAAAGACATCATTTTACGACTTCGAAAAAGGCACGTGAATAGTAGGACCAGTGCGAGCCTCCGCGAAGCAGAGGTGACGCACTGTGGCCGTATTCATCATTGATACCTTGAGGTAAATTCTACCTCCAGGTAGTTTTATCACTCATTATCAGCAAGTACCCGTATTCACAAAAGTACCTTGAGGTAAATTCTCAATGTACCTAATTTTGCTGATAATGAGTGATAAAACTACCTGGAGTAGAATTTACCTCAAGGTATCAATCATGAATACGGCCACTGGTTTTCATATAAAAGGGCCACTTCGACCAAACGGACCTCCATTGTAAGGCTTTGGCCATACTTTGCCCGTGTTGCCGATGTTTCCATTGTTGCCAGTGTTGAAAGTGTTGCCGTGTTGAAAGTGTTGAAAGTGTTGAAAGTGTTGCCGGTGTTGAAAGCGTTGAAAGTGTTGCCGGTGTTGAAAGTGTTGAAAGTGTTGCCGGTGTTGAAAGTGTTGAACGGAGATCATCAGTCTAGCAGTTTCATTCTTTCTGGAACGATCTCACCGGCTGGTGAATACGTTCGAAATGAAACTGGGGAATGAGAAATGAAATTGAAATGGGGAAGATTTTCGCACGCAAAAGATCCTCAAACAAACTTTTTGGGAAGTGGACGGCTTGTCTGGAATAGGCAATCTCCAATATTTGAGAAAGCTGACGTCTGAGTAGTAATGTGTTTTAGTTCGAATCCTGCCGCGCTTGCGATTAGTGAGTAAAGGACCTAAATGACGTCTGCAGCCTTTTCAAATATTGGAGATTGCCTAATCCAGACAAGCCGTCCACTTCCCAAAAAGTTTGTTTGAGTATCTTTTGCGTGCGAAAATCTTCCTCGTCTCATTTTAGTTTCATTTCTCAATCCGCCAATTCCATTTCCAACGTATTCACCAGCCGGTGAGACTGTTCGAGAAAGAATGAAACTGCTAGACTGATGATCTCCGTTCAACACTTTCAACACCGGCAACACTTTCAACTCTTTCAACACTTTCAACGCTTTCAACACTTTCAACACTGGAAACATCGGCAACACGGGCGAAGTATGGCCAAAGCCTAAGTAGACAGACAAAAATGGTATGTCAGCGAATAACGAGAGTTATGAGATCAAAAACTGGCATGTGCATACGTATTAAGGATTTTGAGCAAGAAAATTAACTCCGATTCAATTGACTGGGCGGCTGGAAGGCGAGGCTTTGTGAACCACTCAAGCTCGCTCGCGCCCGCGGCGCAGTTTGCATCTCTTTCGCGCGCGTACTCTCTGATCATTATTTAGCCTCATTTAGGTGAAGACCCGCCTTCCAGCCGCCAAGCCAGTTGAATCGAAGAGTACTTCGGCCTAATTTCAAATTTTTTTTCGGTAATTACAAATCATTCTCTAGCAGAAGCTATAGACGGTTCTCGATGGCAAAGCTGGTGCTAAGTATGGTTTTCGACGGCACTGTTGCAGAGAATCGTGATGGGCGATGCAAGATATTCTGCTATTCGTCTATCATATCCAAACTACTCTATCTAAATACAATGGCGGATCATCGATAATGTTGCTCCTCAGCATAGAACAGGCATGACAGTCCTGATATTATTGATTCCTAGTAGAGCACAAAGTTCGTCGAGGAAAATTTTCAAAACTTTTTACAGTAGCGCTTTGCAAATAGCGAACCAGATTTTGAGAGCTGCGTTTCGAAGCGATTAATTCCATACACATTTCATTTGGCTAGATCACGGTGGACTTGGGTTTTCCTATTGCAAGTAGACCATATTTTCAGTGTTTAGAGCTGGTTTTGAGTTTTCTCTTCTCAAAAAGCCTGTTCAACACATTCACGACAAGGCCGATTATTCAATGACTGACATGGACCAGAGCATATTTCGCAATGCTGAGTTTGCGCAACATTTACTGGTCATTGCTGAGTCCTGTGGTCTAAAGTGTTAATCTTTTCTCAATTTGCCTGGGAATTGTCATCGTAAACTAGGAAAATCAAAAACTTAGAAGGCATACGATCCACACTGGGTTTATCGCCCGAAAGGCAGGACACGTACCGATCCATCGGCTGTCGTATTGTCGTGAAGTGCTGAGTTAAGGGCCGGGCATACTTCACGCGAATTCAGTCGCGACGCGATTTGGCAATTCGCCAGAAGTCTTTAGATCCGACGATAGCAAACTGCACATGCATAGTGTGTATAGCTGACGTGGATTGATGAAATTCCCTATCTTCTGTACAGGTGCGCTAGGTGCGGTGGTGCGCTAGGTGCGCTCCTTCGTCAGTGTGGGAAAATCTTTTGGTCAAGGTACAAGACTGATGCTGCAATATGCGCTAGCATCAAGCATGCAAAAATTCAAACGAAACTGGCGAAAACGCGATGTGCCGTCGAGCCTAGTTGGATCGTTCAATTAATACATGCTCCCCAAAAACGCCCAAAAATTATGAAGGTTTTGATGCAGCTAGAAAACTACTTGCGCTTTAGTTAGATAAAGTCGAGTGAAAGTAATCCGCACTTGCCAACTCCTTCGTCTTCATGGCTCCTCGACCCACTTTCTCGCCGGTCACTCCTGACAAAAAGACAAATGCGCACGAAAACACTTATATATATTGGGAGCACTCACTGGCAGCCGACTTCAGTTGATCTAGCATAGCTAATGGACCTTTCTGTGAAATTGCACGATAAAGGAGCTTAACTTGCATGGTCTTGTTGACTGATAGCTTCTCAAGATAAACGTGAAGCTTTGAACGATAGTGATGTTGCAGCATATCACAAGCTTTTTTCAAAATACCAGCAAGTGTGGTATGTATCATTCTCCCGCTTTCTGCTCAGGAGACCATTTACTATAGAAAATGTTCGCGGTAGTGAAGGGACGCCCGACCCGTAATGTATGAAACTTGCGGTGACCCAACCCGGACGGGGACCTGTACCTCACCTCGCGTATTCAAGGTAGAATCACACCAATTGAAGATTGAAAAAGTCTAGGAAAATTAGGCAATGTGCTGTGCAAAAGAGCTTATAATAATTTTATGAAAAAGCGTCGAATGCGAAGACTTCTTGAGTTACTATTTATTGTCAATGTTCTCCCAATAGCAACTTGTTCGACCGCCCTACGTTTTTTCTACGCTGCTAGGAGTAAGCTAATAACGGCTGGCAGATTCAGCAAAGGCGCACAGGTGGCGGCTCATACCCGTGACAATTAGCACGAAGGTATTTTCCTCAATAAGCCAGCCAAAATTCAATACAAGCTCTTCCAGCTTGGCCATCATAAACAAATTATTTCGTTCTTCCGGCACGTACCTTTTTTCCAGCTTTAGACCGAGAAGTCTAAATTGATTAATTGAAATGAAGGAAACTTTCTTTCATCAAGTATGGGTTTTGATTAACGAAAAATTCCGAAGAAAGTGCATAATACTCTTACTGAGTATGATGAAAGGATTTCATTCTAATTTAGCGATGTTGGAGTGCAAGACGAGAAGATTTGATTGGAATTAGGTGAATACTTTTCTATACTTGCGTGTTCCTCATTCTTTTCTAACATTTTGGGGTTGAAGCACCAATTATCTAAACTAGTTTCTTATATATAAAGCTGAATGTCTGTTTGTCTGTCTGTATGTATGTATGTCTGTACGTATGTTCCGAATAGAAAATTCCATTTCTGAACCGATCCGGACCAAACTTGGCACACATACACTACGGGCCCCGGCGGGTGTCATAGGCTACTTTTCGTCATCGATCGATATCGATTTTATCGATTTTTATCGATTTTTTTGCTGAGTTCACCTACGGGGCTGGGAGTTGGCACAGGGGGGTAATCGAGCATGGGGATTCCGAATACAATATTGGTTTTCAGGATTATCGATTACTTTTATCGATTTTATCGATTTTTTGCAAAGTTTGAGCTACGGGGCTGGGAGTTGGCACAGGGGGGTAATCGAGCATGGGGATTCCGAATACAATATTGGTTTTCAGGATTATCGATTCTTTTATCGATTTTATCGATTTTTTTGCAAAGTTTGAGCTACGGGGCTGGGAGTTCGCACAGGGGGGTAATCGAGCATGGGGATTCCGAATACAATATTGGTTTTCAGGATTATCGATTCTTTTATCGATTTTATCGATTTTTTTGCAAAGTTTGAGCTACGGGGCTGGGAGTTCGCACAGGGGGGTAATCGAGCATGGGGATTCCGAATACAATATTGGTTTTCGGGATTATCGATTACTTTTATCGATTTTATCGATTTTTTGCAAAGTTTGAGCTAGGGGGCTGGGAGTTGGCACAGGGGGCTAGGGGGCTGGGAGTTGGCACAGGGGGGTAATCGAGCATGCTGATCATCCCCAAGGGGGGTGATCAGCATGCTCGAACACCCCTGTGCCAAATTCCAGCCCCCTAGCTCAAATTTTCAAAAAATCGATAAAATCGATAAAAGTAATGGACGATCTTGAAAACTAATATTGTATTCGTAATCTGCATGCTCGATTACCCTCTGTGCAAACTCCCAGCCCCGCAGGTCAAACTTTGCAAAAAAAATCGATAAAATCGATAAAAGTAATGGACGATCCTGAAAACTAATATTGTATTCGGAATCCCCATGCTCACTTCCCCCCTGTGCCAACTCCTAGCCCTGTAGGTGAACTCTGCCAAAAAATCGATAAAATCGATAAAAGTAATCGATAATCCTGAAAACCAATATTGTATTCGGAATCCCCATGCTCGATTACCCCCCTGTGCCAACTCCCAGCCCCGTAGGTGAACTCAGCAAAAAAATCGATAAAAATCGATAAAATCGATATCGATCGATGACGAAAAGTAGCCTATGACACCCGCCGGGGCCCGTAGTGTATGTGTGCCAAGTTTGGTCCGGATCGGTTCAGAAATGGAATTTTCTATTCGGAACATACGTACACACAGACAGACATACAGACAGACATACAGACAGACAGACAAACAGACATTCAGCTTTATATATAAGATCATTTATACAATCCACAGCGATATTGCGGAAGTGATTCTTATTTCGTACATTTTTATAATTACTTTCCGACGTTCTTACTTTTTACTCTATTATCACTTTGCTTGCATTATAACTCTCTTACAGGAATTCTTAGATTCTCGTCGAGACATGCAACAGTGTATACTCCCCCATACAGATTAGTAAAGCACAGGGCTTCTAAAATTCCTGACTCTTTTCACTTACCTTAATTCAAATTAGGAATAAAATCTTAAATTTCCGTTCGATCGAATGATTACGGAAAGCTGTGATTACGCGGCGTGTTTTGGACGATGAAGCTTAGGGCGCAAGTAGTATACTAAGACTTGCAATATTTTTCTAGCTACGCGCAGGAATTGTCAGTGTCAGGACAGTGAGCGCAACAGAATTTTCTCGAGAGATTTATGTCTTGTGGTCTCAATTGCCTATCTGATAATGAAAAGGTTTTTTTGTCATTATCAGCAATCCCACAAGTATATACATTCCTGATCGTAACTATGGAGAAGGCAAAAATTTTCTCAACGCATTTGAGAGCACAAAATGCATTTCTCTCCAAAAAACAACAACTTCTAGATGTAATAAATTTTCCATGGTTCGATTCTAGCTTCACAAAAGTGTAAACCAAGATTTACAATTGCAAGAGTGCTAGGAAGAAGAGAGTGGTTTTGCAGGTATCCCAATCTTCTATAGTGCTAGGAAGAAGAGAGTGGTTTTGCAGGTATCCCAATCTTCTATAAAGTCTTCCAAAATTTTTCTGGCCTGCAGCATTTGAAATAGCATATACATAGAGAAGCAAATTCTCAAACATAACTTTTGAGAATAAGCAAGATATGGCAATTTATGGAGTAGCTTCATAACCAAGTTTAGCCATTGACTGCTTTTCAGTTCCAGGTAGCAAAACTTTCTTCATTTATATGCATAAATTTGGCTACTTTGAAAATATTTCTAAACAAACAAAAAGCGCGTAATGCCCAGCTAATAGTTTGCAAACTGAGTTATCCGTTGAATTTATTCGTTCTATGATTTTCTGGAGGTCAAAATGCCAGCCGTTCTATACCAGCCTCAGAAAGTGGCTTGCTAAAAGCAAGAAAAGTATAAAAAGGAAATTATTTAAGATGTAGTTTCGCTTTGAAAAGTCTCAATAGTAACAATGAGAAAGTCAAGCTATACGCTGCTGCATGACGAAGGCGCAATATATTTGGGCACGAACGCGGCTTTATTAGCCGCAGAGCGCATGAGACGCAGAATTTACAACGGTGAAGATACGCGCGCGCCGCGTTCGCGTCTGCTCAGCTAATACACCTTCTGCGCCTTTGTCGTCAACCAGTAGCCTTTATATTGTTTATATATTGCCTACTTATTGCGATTGAACATTTTCAGGACAAAGTCGACGATAGAAAACGATTATTTGCATTATTCTGATGAGCAAGCGAGCAATCAAGAGGGCTTTATGGAGTGCCATTTTTCCTTCCTCGGCTAGTTTTTCTTCATTTGAACTACCAAAGTCAGTTGCCAATGGCTATCATAGAAACAAGCACGTGAACGCACTGTATAAACACACAGACCCACTTTTCTAACTTTAAAGAAGTTTTACCTATCATTCAGTGCGGTATAAATTGACAAACACTTAAAAGGCCTAAGAATTGTCTCATGGTGACCACGGTGCGAAAAAGATTCCAGTGATGGTGTTTTAATAGGTTCAGGAAACGATTGTCATATAATACTCCCACAATTTTTGCGCAAATTATTGTTTGCTAAACGTAGCAAGAGTTTCTCTTTGTTTGTTGTACATTCACCCGCTCAATATCGGTTGGTACAAAATTGAAGAATCTTTTCATTTTGGCGTAGCAGAGAGGACATGGAAATCGGCAAAATACATCATCGATAGAGCAAAGCAAGTACTATGAGATAGCATCTTACCAACCTCCGATATTTCAATCTACCCTTGATTTTGAAAAAAATCTGGAACATTTCAGTTATCCAAAAATCAGATTTCCATCTAACAAAGAAAGTTTGTTTAGTCAAAGTGGCCCTTGTAAATGAGATGTATACCATAATAAAGAGCATAAAACTCCGATTTATAAATGGAGAGTTATGAGCGTTTTTTGGAGTCAAAAGCCATGTGCATTTTGGATAAAGTGAGTTGCTGAATTTACTAATATAGCATTTTAATGAAGTGCTTTGATGATTATCACCGCTTCACTGAAGACCTAAAGAATGTATTACGGCTATTTTTGTCGGAATACATCCCACTCAAAATGGCCACTTCGACTAAACATGCACTCCTTGTAAGAAAAACATGCGAAACCCCAACTTGATCAAGCATATACCATAATGTCATGCAAATGGGCAGCTGCAAATGTGATTGAAAGGGCTGAAAATTCAAAACTGTACCCTTTTTGGGGAGTTTTTATGTTACATTTGCTATTTCTCGACAATGCTCGAATAACTAAAAATACTTTGTTATACTTTCGAGTTTGTAGTTTGAATTATCTATATTAATTCAACATTGCTTTTGCTGGAGTTTGTGGACTGTAGGTTGTATATTTCGGTGGAAAATACTGTAGCTTGTAGTTTTTTTCTGGCAGTTCGATTTTCGGGGCTATTCAATTTGTTAGACTTTTTTCCAAGCTTCCCATAGATCAAACTTGGTTGTTC